AGTAACACCCCACACAATGGTTCCGCCCACCAGGGGAGGGGTCGAGGGTGTTTAACCAGACTGGTATTCAGATCATTCCACTCCTGAATTTCTTTCCGAAAAGAAAAGTCATGGTCGCTTTCATAAAATCGTTCATCACGATCAGTAGAGAAGAGTGTTAAATTCCAGTGAACGTTATTCGTGACATCTGTAACAGGTGACCAAACATTTTGATGTGGCGACTTTATTCTAGGTTTATGCATAGGGCTGCAGTTTGGTTGTAGGGTTAGGGTTATAGTTAGGTTTAAGCACAGTGTTGTGTCGACAATAATTGAAGATGGAATTCGGTCAGTGTATAGTAGACCTCAGAACAATTGTCGCCCGAGCATATGCCTCGAACTAAGTAAATGAACGATAAAGAAACAAATAAGAGCAGAGCAAAACACAAACATATACGACCAAAGCCAAGAAACCAACCAAACGAACAACCAAACGAACAGATAACATAAACGAACAAATCATAAAACGCACCCGGCAACTCTTATCTGTGTTAGATGTAGAAAGACCGCAGTGCGTGACTTCAGAGGGCCAAGCGTTGCACCCCGCCCTCCTTCTCTTTCACTTCGTAGGCAACCTTTTTAAGGTCCGATTGGGAAATACAAGTCCTTCTTCATGTAGATCACAATATTTTCATTTAACAACAGAAAAGAAAGAAGAAAAAACTCTCCCTGATTGCGCCAATTAAACATGTATGAATTAAAGGAAGTTTGGTTATTAATTCGTTTGCTGACCTTGTCTCTTACATGTAAGTCGTTTCCATGGCAACATATGACGCTTTCTATCTCCTCATTACACCTAATCTACATCCTGTCCATGACGTTATGTGTATCACATGATGTGTATCAACCCGGTATCCGGTTCAAGTACATGTACGAATTATCATAGTCAATGATCGTACTAAACAGAAAATATGAGTATTTAAAAAAAATGTACTCTCTAAATAAAATCGAGTGATCACTGACGTCACTCCTCTGAAGAGTGAACATGTAGTGAAAATAGAGTGAACATTCACTCTTTTCTTCTTAGAGAGCCAATCGATTTTCATTTCTAAACAAGACGTGATCCCTGACGTACTCGCTTCCAAGAAAGTGAAAATAGAGTGAAAATTCCCTTATTTGTTTAGAGAGAATAATATGAAATATATAAACGTTAAATGTTGATGATAAACGTTTTGATTCGCGCTCTGCTCCAATAAGAGATCAATCATTCAAGATTTATTTAACAGGGGAGGGGTGGCGGAGGGCATACGCAGAGGTTACCGCCATGGACCTGCTACCGCAAAGGCCACAGGACATTGTTGGTTGTTGTACCCATGAACTAGGAATGTGGGACCTCGAACTTTGCTGGGGGTAGGTCAGGGTTGGATAGCCTCCCAAGAAGCGCGGTTTATAGGTATACCACTTGCCCCTGTGACGACTGACATTTTAGGTTGCCAATATCGACAGTGAATAGGCTGACGAAAAGGATTTACAAATGATAGATTTTTGAAAATTCGGTAGCTCTGTCCCCCTTTCTTTTTGTGAAGGATCCGTTTCCCACGGACCCTTTCCCTTTGTCTCCCTCCTCTACTTACAAGACAGAGAGAGAGAGAGAGAGAGAGAGAGGGGAGGAGAAAATAGAGGAGAGATAGAAGTACATACGTCAGTTTAGTAAATCTTGTATTTCTTCGTGTTATGGTGACCTGTGTGTTTTGTTGTAACCATGGTAACAAATCGTGATGATGTCAAATAACCACCAGAGTAAAGTTGTGAGAAAGATGTTTGACTTAGACAAAGTTTTGGTTTATGATTGTCTTTTCAATTTTTCATTTTATATTAGTCATATTGTTATACATCTATATTGAAAGAAATGGAGGGGGAAAATTGTAGAACACACTTAGGAGAAATTAAAAATCGGAAAGTAGAGATTACGAGTGTCATATAATCAGGATTTGTGTCACTGTTCAAAGAAATTTAACAAACATGAATGATTAGGAGCCAGCAGTTAACAAAGCAATGAAATTATAGATGAAGCAGTTATAAAAAAAAAAAAAAACTCTCCGCAATTATAACTGGGAGTGGGAGCTTCAAGTTTATGAAACAATGTAAGCTACATAACATGATTGTGGAGCGCCAGAAGTGCCGAATCTGACAAGATTAAGCGCTATACAAGAACCCATCATTATCATTTGTATTATTTTTATTAAATGAATAGTTTAAAGTCCAACGGGGGAGGGGATTACACATTTAATGCTAAGTATAGAGATAATTTATACTAAACACTTCTATAGAATGCACTTATACTTATTTATTTTCTTAATAATCCCTCCATCCCACCCACATTCAGGCGAATCCACAGCCGAATTCTGTACCGAGCGCTCGAGCGCATTGTTCAATTCATATTAGTCCCAGTCGCGTCACGGACTGTGATGATTCTTTATGGCACATACGGGAAAGTGGGCACGTGGGACAATCTATCATCGCCAACCAACCAGGCGAAAATGTTTTCAGAGTCCTGGGACTCTGAGAGTCGACTCTAGACGAGGAATGATTTGTAACGAAAAGAAGAACGGATCACTGGCTCGTAGAAATGTTTCGATTGTACTGTAAATTTTCAGGGACCGGTTGTTTGAAACAATGGCAAAATGTTCTGCCATCAACTCGAGGCATTTAATATATATTTTTTTTTTTTAAATGGTGGTAGTTCTGTTGGGGTCATAGTTTAGATAGGGATTTGCAGTAAAGGCATATCCGGGTGGAAGTACAAAACTTAAGAGCCCCCCACCACAAAAAAGGGAGAAAAAACAAGAGAATAATGATGAATAAATGAATAAATAAATAAATAATGAAGAAAAAATAAGAAGAAAAACAAACGTAGGGACTTGTAGGAAATCTGATTTGTTTCCCCTTTGATAGACAACCCTTGGTCTGCTACTAGAGTTGATATCCACTGGAAATTAGACGAGAATCCACAAATAGTAATTTAATAACTAATTAATTATTAAGGATCTAACTAATTGATCCTTAATGACACAATGACTGCCCCCAAAAGCTATGTATATATCTACTCTGTGGCGGTGTTTCATAAAGCTGTTCGTAAAGTTACGCATGACCTTACGAACGACTTGTATATGAAAAGCCAAATGGGATGCCCAATCATTATAACTGCATCAACTAAAGTTGAACTGTGCAGATATGTGGATTAACATTCTTATTATAACGAACATTTTTAACGCAAAGTATATTTTTGCCATAATTTAATTAAGGTTATTGGAAATATCAGAAAAACCTTTGGGCATCCTATCTGGCTCTTCATATACAAGTCGTTTGTAAAGTCATGCGTAACTTTACGAACAGCTTTATGAAACACCCCCCCTGGTACCTTATAAAAACAAATGTACATCTGGTTCTGAAACGGAAGTCGAAGGAAAACTGATGCCCGATTCATATTCATTATAAGAGAAATAAATTAAAAATATGATATTTGTAGTTCATGTGCGTAGATAATTCATAACAACCATCCTGCTCGAAGCCTTTCAACACTTTCCCTCCAAACGTTACTTATCCATGAATTTCTTTTTTGAATCCCATAATCGGAAATGCCTGAAGTTTTGTTAGGGTGTTGCGTCGATAGATGATGCATTCCGAAGGGGATCACCCCCCCCCCCCCCATCCTCCCCCTATAACGTTCTAACGAATTATACGAATGTTTTCCGACAAACAAGGTTAAGGTATACGTAAAGAAGAAGTGCCGTCGTCAGACTTTCATATAATCCAAGGTTTAAAAACATCCTTCAAGCGGAAAAGATTTTTGTATTAAATTTTATTTTTTTATTTCAAGGTAAAAATGCCCCAAACACGTAGTATAGGGATTCTTCAGAATTTTGTTTTGAAGCCATTCAGGTTGTCCTTGTTTTTTATCTTTTTAGGAAACATATAAAATTATAAATGAAATTTAAAAAACAATAATGAAAGCCTGCATAATAGGAAATGACGTTTCACCGGTATTATGCGTACTTGAGTTCGTACGATTATGTTATAGGCATGTATTCACTAACATTGCAGTCTTAAATTGATTTTGATTACATAAGAGCGTTCAGTTTATTAAACAAAATAGAAGTGTTTAAATTTTAGCATTTACAATCAATACTTTTCTCCATCTTAAGTGGTGATTTTGATATAGATTTTTACATACCAGAGAACTGAGAGAGGTAAAGATGAACAAAAAGTGTTTTTTTTGGGGGGGGGGGGCTATATGGAAGATTTGGCGTCGCGCTATTCTATCGGACGGTTCGAGACTGACTGAACAATGAAGAGTGTCTCGTTGATTTTTTATAACAGCTTTTGTGACTTTTTTCCCGAGATCGAGTATGTTAAGTCTCCTGTATGTTGTGACGTCGGTCTATTGGGCTTTCGGCCTCGTAGGCCAACTCTTTGGACTTGGTCTCGTGTCATCTGGGACGTCCCGAAGATTGCAGGATCAACGAAGTCACAGCCGCGAACGAAATAAAAACGGGTTCCGTTCTCGTTTATAGGTAGTGCGCAGGAAAATCAAAATTTCTGGCGCTTTCCCAAACTTGTTTCGTAGAAATGATCACGAGACGAATTCGAATAGGATTTTTCTACCCGCATATGTTATTTGCAGGTTCTCTTATAGTGTATCATTTTCGTATCCTTCCTTGAAATTTCCACATCATGCCTTTGTCTTCTGCCGTAGTTTCATAATGTCTGAGGTTTGAGCCATAGTTTGTAAAAGGAAAATCTATAAGGAAAGAGGAATTCCATTTCCCGTGTGCCCAGCCATCCCCAGAGTCATGAGCTGAAGTTAGACTTTTGTTTGTTACTTTACTTATAAACATTTTGACCTGGTCGTGTTATAAAAGTAAGACTTTCTTCTCCTACAACTTTACATTCACACCCACGCATTTGATTTTTCTTTGAAATCTGAAGTACATTTCTTTCTATGATTGCAGTAAGCCCCTTCGTATGAAGCACGAGATGTAGATGCTTGAATTCCCTTGTTATAATTCTTGACAACTATCCTATTTCAGAAGGTCTTGTTCATGGGCCACAGCTGGCTCAGACCGCCTTGATCTCGGCGTGGTTAGCATTCTACGGCCACCAACGGTACGCGCCATAAATTTGACTTATTTTGTCAACAAATGCCACGTTGGTCCTCCACGGAGATGAGCAACAATCCGCCGTCATTAATTATCGGTGGCAATGCCCGTTGAACGCGACGCGTCGTTAGGTGACGTAGTACTGCGTCGTCGATTGGCGCGTTCTGTGTTGCGTCATTGTGAGATGGGAATAAAGAAGACAAAAAGGAACGCAAACTGATATTGCGTTGACTTAATGAGTATCAGTTTCATCGTGCTCGTAGGCTTGATTTATTTGTTGGCGTACACGTAGGTATTATTGACGCAATCGAAATGACGCGTCGAATATAGGCAGCGTCGCGACGCCTCACCGCAATCAGAAAGTCATATTTCAAAATATATGAAAAGTTAATAGAAGTAGTATTAGTAGTATAATTACGGGCCCGTTTCATACTAGACGTCATTCCAAATGCTGCCACGTGTAAAGTCTTTATATGCAGTAAGCCCATTTTTGTATATACAAGTAATGTACACTATTTTTTTTTATTGCGAACAATAGCCACTTCTTTCAACAAATAATTGTTGACAGCTGGTCATAATCAGCAGTCCCCCTGTAAGGAGAATCCCAAATACGCCAATGGAGTTTCTCTGCAGCTCAGATGCTGTTTTGTTTCACTAATCTATTCGAAAACAAGAGTTTTAAAAAACTTTTCTCACTCAATATCACCAGAGATTTGTGGAGCACATGATGTAAGAATAATTACGAAAAGTACACTAATTATCTGAGAAAGGCGATACTGCTTGACAAAAACGCAACAAGATCTAAAATTAAGCATGACCCTAACAGAAGAAATATAAACATAGATAGAATATAAAGAGGAAACAACACATAACGTAATTTGTGCGTTATGCATTTTGCATTTATGTTGTTGTTGTTTCTTTTTACACCTGACGTGTCAGAAGACCGCACCGATGTCTGCCGCAGCTCTCCGTCAGGAAAATGACGTCTAGATTTCACAACCCATCAGTACATCATATCTCCCTTTCTCGTTGCTATAGTTTACAACCTATACGTCTCTTTCATGCTATATCATCATATCATTTTACACTTGATCAAAAGGATATCCGCTTTTGTTTTTAATTTCACGCTTCACTGAGCACCGATGTACACAAGCTCCTTCAAAACCCATGACGAATTCGTCAAATATACTGGTACTTTTCCGCAGAACACAGTCTGTCACGTCGCTTCCTCCCTAATTACACGACGTTTGCATGTTTGATAATAACGTTCTCTTCGTGTTTTGTTTTTGGTTGCCATTTTGGGGCACGGACACCTGTTGACATATGTATTGATCATCAACGTGGATTCTTCTACTAAACGCCCATTATTGATTTTGTCGGTTACGTGTAATTTACAAGTCTGTGTTTATTTCCGAATTCTGCTAATCATCGACAGTGTCAATTACAATATTGCATCTACGCAGTCTCTCTGACACATATTCGTAATAACAGTGCTTGTTTAGTGAGCTGTTCAGTTACTTGACCAATGTTGGGAAGGCAGTAAATTTCGGAGAAGTGTCGTCATGGACTGATCGTGCTGAAGTTCAATCCCACTTTTTAAGGAAAAGGGTTGATGAGACAGTTTTGCCATGATTGTTAGGGTGCAACAATAGGAGACTGTATTTCATAGGTACGTATCTTTTTTTAATGTCATGCTTGTTGAGACTTGTCTCATGTATGTATGTAAGCGACAAACAAATCATAACAACTCTTCAAGTCGTGGCATATTAGATTATTCGGCGATCAATAGCATTCATAACGATTGCTTCCTTGACGTAATTCACTGTAGCGCAAGCTTCGTTGCAAAGTATTGTTTCAAAATACAATAATGGATATAGCTACTTCATTTGCTGTTTTCTTTTTGTTTTCGTCATCACAATTTCCAACGTTTTGTTTGATTTTATTAGCATTGATTAATCAATGGTGAAACTTATTTTTTGACATTAAATTTAGTTTTCTCGCCGGCGTAATAACGTGTTTTGAAATTGTACCCTGTTTCCAATGCATTATGATATTATGAACAATCATATTATCTGCATTTCATCACCATGCTTAATGCCACGCAGCTATCCGTCTTCCCTTTTCTTTTTCCGTTTGTGGGGGCGTTTTTGACCCAGTTTTCTTTGTCCGTTATGACCCAAAGCTATCGTGGATTTCCGATTTCATCAACGCTTTCTTTCTTCTCCCTTCAACAGTCTTTTATTCCGGGAGTTACATTTCTTATATATATATATATGTACTGTATATATTTAATTTTTGCTGTTATTTTCTTTTGTTTTGTTCTGTAAGGTGGGAGTGGGAAAGATGAAATACTTGAAAACCATCTCGCCTGTATATAACCTACTTGCATTATATGCGACTGCGCAGAGTATTTCATTATTAGCGGACTTTGCTAGAAAAGAATGCCTAAACAACATGAACAACCTGTAGTTGATTCCTCTTAAATAAAAACTCCCATGTATCAAGTGCATTAAACATTCATAAACAAACTAAAAAAACAAAGAAAAGTAACAACCCCCCCCCCCCCAATAAAAATGAAAAAAAAGAAGAAAATAATGTTTGCTGCAAAATAGTTGAAAAACAGAAAACTTCAAAAGTCAATTATCTTTTAATTTTGTTTTTTAACCTTCCAAATGGATGTTGTTGTTGTTGTTGTAACGTTGTTGTTGTTGTTGTAATATTACTACTACTGCTACTTCAACTATTCCTGGGGGTTGTTTCACAAAGATTCAAAGTCGAACTTAACTCTAAATTTGGACTTAGATATTATGGAGAGCCATTTGTAGCCTTATTTTGAAATATATTCAAAAGCAAAAATGGAAGTATTTTAGAATTTTCATGAATTCCATATCAAGAACGTGAAATCTCTTATGATAATAGAAAATATGAATTATTTGAATCAACACTTTAATGCCTTTTAAAATAACTTTTACAAAATATTTTCAAGGATGATAAAGGCTTTCCATGATTGTTATGTCCAACTTTGAGACAAGTTCAACTTCGGATCTTTGTGAAACACCCCCTGCTTATAATTATGCGTCGTACCTGTTTGAGGTGACCGGATTCACCTGCATGTGTAAGCCTCATTTCGTAGAGACGTGTAATCAGATACCCACGTGACCTTGCAGTTGTTTTCCATCTCTTCTCATAACTATCACTCTCTCGAAAAAAAACCTCGGGCTTCAGGTTTGCTTTTCCATTTTCCTTTTGTCCAAGACGCTTATAATGGGAACAAGCAGGAAAGGTTTCTATTTCCGAAATGGAAACAAATCTATATCACCTTTGTGATCTTTCATCATTTCCGATGGGTTCTATTTAGAACGTGGTGCATTTTGTTACATGTTTTTATCAATTTCGTGTTTTTGTGTGTGTGCTTCATTTTATTTCTCGTTTCTCATCCTTTTTGTCCATTTTGGGGGTGTATTTTGTTGTTGAAAGTAACTGTTCCATGTCTCTCTATTATCATTATTTCTCTCTCATGCCTCCTCTACCTGTCTCTCTTTCTCTCTATCCGCCCTTCTCCCTCTCTCTCTCTCCGTAGCTATCTTTCTGTATTAATGTTTCTCTGTCTTTTTGTTTCTCTCTGTATGCTCTCTGTATACAGCACATTTTACCCCCTCCCTCCTTTACACACACTCACAGGCATGCACACGCACGCAATCATGCGCACACACGCACACACACAATCATGTTGCCCCCTCTCTTTCACTTTTCCTCTCAGTCTCGCTCTATCAATTTATATTTCAGTCTTTTTGATTTCTTTTTCTCTTTATTATTTCTCTCTCTCACTCTCTCTCTCTAAGACATCATGATATGGCTCGAATTGTTCGATGAGAGAAAGCGAGGATATTTCTTCGAGATTGTATTGGTTCCTTAATTCTACGAGAAATCTTTGTTTAAACATGTTAAAAATTATCTGTCGCAAGAAATTGACTCGAAAAAACAATGGAAACAATATAACCATCAACCCCAAAACCACGAAATATTCATTTTTATACCCCCCAAAATGTGCATAGAAAATGAAAATAAATATTGATATATCAGCACATCAGAAATCTTAGCACGTATAATAGGGTTTTGTTTACGGTTAGGGTTAGGTTACTTGGGGTGATGTATTCATTCTTCAATCGTTCCTCTCTCGGCGTTTAGCGTTGATCGTTTTCCTTGAAAATTTCTGAATATTTTGTTAGTTCTGCAAGGTAAACGACCTACGATTCAACATTATTTGTTTTAATTTGAAAAGGGAAAACAATACCGTTATATATCTGGTATTGGAATGGCAATAACTTTGATATGTTTGATATTTGAATGGAAGCTCTTCGGCTCAAAGTGATCACGAATTGGAAATTGTGGAAGCAATATGGCAACAAGTCTAGACCGACTCAAAACTATGAGAAATTGAAGTTTAACTAAACATTCCGCGAAGTCGAATCAGAAGCCTACTACCGGTATACCGTTAACTATGATAAATGATATAAACCTGCTCAGCAAATATTGGAAACTTGAATTTATCTCTGCCTTACTTCTCCAACATCCTTCCCTCGCTTTTCCAATCCTTTTATTCTCATGAACCGTAAAGGTTTCTTATTTGGGGTTTTGAGGTCGGCGTTTTGTCAAGAGTGCACCCTTATTAACTTTCCGTTCAATATCTCCGTATGTTTTGGGGTCTTTGCGAGAGAAAAAAATAGTCGAAAAGAATGATTGCTTGCAAGCTCCCGAAATTTATAAAGATCTGTTGCTCCAGCTCTGCCCTGTGGACTAAATTACACCAGCCCAATAATAGCAGAATTGATTGATCAATGTATAGTCCCGATTTGCGGTCTCAAATACTAGGTCATAAATAAACACGATGTTTTCGTTCGCAATATTATCCGGACTGTGGGGAAGTCATGACAAAATAGAGTACTCCTTCCCCTTTCTATTTCTTTCATATGTTTTTTCTTCATCTCTCTCTCTCCTCTATGTGTCCCCCTCTCTGTCTCTCTCTTTCTCACTGCCTCTTGATCTATTCCATCATCTTCTCTGCTTCCCCTTCCCCCTTACCGGCATTTGTTGTCATGTTCGTCTGTCTGTCTGTGTCTGTCTTTCTTTCTCATCCCCTCTCTATTCAGCTCTCTTTCTCTCTCTCCTTCTACCCCCTCCGTCGTATTGCCCCCTCTCTCATGTCTATCTCTCTATTCTACGATCCCATCTCCCTCTACTTCATCCCTCTCCCTCTCTGTCTTAATCTCGCCCTCTCTCTCTCTTTGTCTCTCTCTCTATCCCCCTTTCTACCTCCCTTCCTCCCACTTTTTCTTTCTTTTACTTATGCGGTCTGCGTTACAAAAATAGATGTTTACGTGTTATTTGTTTCTCCCAAAACGTTAACATAACAAGACAATTAATTATTTGTTTCTCATCTGTGACGACTCGAACGGCATGTTTGGTAAAAGTTGCAACGACAAACAAAATTACAGAGGACATTATTTTCTTCGTACAATCCTCTTAACGGGTTTCAGTGTTTCCACTTAACATGCCACTTTTACAATTCAAGTGCTTGTGTTTTGACCATGATGGTTTTGATCAATGCCTTATCTTGTGCGGCTTCAATTAGCTAGAAATCGGAAGTGAAGGCATTTCCCATCATTATTATCATTATTAGAAGTTGTGTAATCTGCCTGGGGTGTAATAAGAAAATAAGCTAGAAATCGGAAGTGAAGGCATTTCCCATCATTATTATCATTAGTTGAAGTTGTGTAATCTGCCTGGGGTGTATTAAGAAAATTAGCTAGAAATCGGAAGTGAAGGCATTTCCCATCATTATTATCATTATTTGAAGTTGTGTAATCTGCCTGGGGTGTATTAAGAAAATGACCCTCATATTAGTCATTACTGAAACTAGATCACTTTTTCCCATCTCTCTCTCTCTCTCTCTCTCTGTAGTTGCCATCGCCTTTTATTTTCCTTAATGTCTGTTTTCTCCTCCCCAATTACCAATTTCTACTCCCAACTATTCTATCAACTTTATTCCCTTTTAACTGGTTTTTAAACTGTACGAAAACGTCTGGTATCCAATACTACCCCAGCCGTCATCAAGGTTACTTGTAAACACTCCTGGGAGTACAACACCCAATACGGCGACTGTAGGGTGAAGCCTAGCGCGACGCCGTCGCACGTGGGTTGGCAGCGATGACGTCAGCTGCTCTTGGGTTTGTAAGTAGCAGCCGCGAACTTTTCGCACGATTGCTTTTGCTCTCTCCCGCTCAAAAACATCAACTGGTCGCAACAGCCAGTCAGTGTGAGCCGAGGCGACTCGACGTAAGGGTGCTGCGAATACGGTAGCTCACCACTTACACACAACGTGGCATTTCCTCCTCCGTACCAAAGCGAAACCCACGCATACACACACAACACACGCCGCACAGGACATGCCGGATGCGACGCCAATCTCTCTGTTGAGCACGCCACACGTAGCCGGTTGCTGTTGACAGCATAAGATGTGAACTCATTGTGGCGCCTTTTTACAAACGATCTTCTACTCGTTGTTTTAATTCGAGGACCGTTTCGCGGGATATTTGCTCATTGTTTTTGACTTAGCATCACCTGTTTCAAACTGTGAGTATTCTTACTCTGTGTTTAGTTAATGACATT